TCATCAGAACTTTGAATCACAGGGCAGAGGAAATGCCCACAATGGTAGAAGGGGCCAAGAAAGAAAAATTACACGTCCAGAACTCCCTTAAGGCTTGTGGATAACCTAAGTGGGCCTTCACCAAAGCTAGGAAGAGACCTGACACCAACAGGGAGAAATCGGAAACAAGAAGGGATAACATCGTCATCCCTTATGTGGCTGGTTTATCAGAGAAATTAAAAAGGATCTTTCACAACCACAATATCCCAGTTAACTGTAAACCAGGGAACACCCTGCGGCAGAGACTGGTCCACCCGAAGGACAAAACACCCAGACACAAACAGAGTGATGTGGTGTATGCAATTAAGTGCAGTCAGGAGTGCAACGACTTGTACATTGGTGAAACTAAGCAGCCGCTTCACAAACGCATGGCTCAACACAGGAGGGCCAACTCCAGTGGACCAGAGTCAGCAGTCCACCTCCACCAGAAGGAGAAAGGACACTCTTTTGAGGACAGTGAAGTCCAGATCCTCTCCAGAGAACATCGCTGGTTTGAGAGAGGTGTTAAGCATCCACACAATAATTAAAGAACAGGAGAGCATAGTGAATAATGTTGAGACTACTGACCAGTAAGTCTGTGGCTAACACATCAGTAAAGGGATTGTGTATAATACTGTATATAGACTGATATACAAAAGTATTCACCCCCTTGGATGTTTTACCCTTTTAGTTTAGTTTACCCTTCTTCAGTTCCTGTCTCACACTGCAGGGTGGACTGAGTGATTCGGTTTCCATTGACCCAGGGCTTTGTCTCCGTAGCAGTGCAGCTGTGCACTTTGGCCACAAGGGGGCTCACATACAGTCAGCAGCCTTTGTAGCACTCACAGAGGGGAATAATCTTTAAAAAATTCCTGTATCCAAATTATGATATGGATCAGGACCAAAAGCTAATCAGTTGCTCTGTGGGCCATACCCTGCCTCTGCAAAAATGTCACTGAAATCTGTTCTTTACTTTTTGAGTTCTGCTGTTAACAAACTAGCAAACAAACCAACAAATGCTGGTAAAACCAGGACCCCTACTTTGGCAGAGGTAACAAAGTACAACAGTTCAAGCTCTGTCAAGGTGACAAGTTGTGTTCTTTCATGGATGTGTAGAATCAACAACTCTCAGTTGAAGATGAAATGTACCTATGAAGTCTTTATATTTTTAGTAAGTGTACAACATTCTAGTATGGACTAAAGCTAAGTTATTACAGTGCCCATAAAAAGTATTCACCCCCTTGGATGTTTTACCTTTTTGTTGATTTTATAACTCAGTCATGGTCAGTATGATTTGGCTTTTTTGATAAAAGTGTATTCAGTCATGGTGTGTGTGTGTGTGTGTGTGTGTTGTGACCACTATCATTGTTGAAACCAAACATATACCCTTGCTGTCAACCTCATGGGGACACTATAGGAAACTTCACTGGATCATCAAAGTCAGCAGGCTTCACTGTGGAAACATATCGCCAAACTCTGGACGCTCCTTAAGCGCCACCATCAGGTTTTGAGCTCCATTACAAATGAAGCTCATAACAGTATGGGTAAGTTTAGGTTCCACATCACTGGCAGTGAACAATGTACATAGTAGAATTTGAGCAGGTACTGAACATTATTGACATTTTTTAGTCTTTAAGCAGTTACTTTTTAGTGGGTTTAGAGGATGCAAACTAGTAAACCTCACTAAATCCAGTCGCATAGCCCTGCACTAAAAACTAGGCCTACATCTGTAAGAAATGTTTTGTGGCTTTCACTACATTTATTCAGGTCTAGTAGCCTAATGGTGAGGCTGCAGTTTGTTATATTTTATTATTTTGCCCTTCCCTAATAAAATACATATTTGTAAAACCATTATTAGGTCAAATCTACACCTCTCTCCCTTTTTGTTTTTTTTACAGTGGATTTGCGCTGGGTTAGCATTACTCTCTCAGTATGGACAGATGGACTGTACATGTGTACAGTATAATCTTTGTACTGTTGTACAAAGATTGAAGATTTGAAAAAAATTGCAGCTTATTCATTTCCCTGTAACTGTTCATTGAAAAATATTTCCAGTTCATTAAAAGTGCTTGTTATTCTCAGCTTTCAAAGAAAACATAGCAACATTTATATTTGGACATTTATTCAATACACTGTGTACAAAAGAATTAAACGGAAAACATGACTGTGCCTGAATAAGCAATCAGTATTCATACAAACATTTCATACTGACAAGAAAGGGCTAACATTCTCAAGATTGTATCAAAAAATGTGGAAGGAGCAACAAAAAAAACATTACATTCTTACAGTCCCACAAGAGACACAAAGGTCATTGTTTTCACAGAAAACACTCAGTATAGCTGATCCACAGAGCAGTTCCTCCTTGTTTTAACTTGTTAACACTGACAATGCAAACCCTTACTGGGTTCAGGCGAGACTACGCAGGACAGGCAGCAGTTCTGGGTTCAGTGAGACGATGCTGTTGACAGGACCATGATGCTCATGACTGTCACGTCACACACATTAAGCAGACAGTGACAGTGTGCACCTAAGAAGTGTACATACAACACACACTGTTGATGCTTCTGCACAGTCTCCTCACATCCAATACCAGCTGTTGTTAAAAAGAAAAGAAGCAAGGCCTTCCTCCTCAGCTCTGCAGAGTTCAAATTATTTCTTTAGGATTAGCCAAAATAAAGCAGTGTCAATACTACTCAATTATTTTCAGGTCTAGTTTCTATAAATCATAGCTATGGCTAAATTTTTTTGTCTTTGTAAAGTGCTGCCTAATTTTTTGTCTCACATTTAAGAATTATATCAGTAGGGAAAACATTTCTGACTCTCCTGTTCAAACCTGACTAATGAAATAACAGAACTAAATATTAAACTAAAAGAAATATCACATGTAGGTATAATACAGTACAATAACCACGATAGGAAGAAAATTCAGCTGTGTGGAAAGCTTTCTGCTGCGTAGGAGACTTCCATTTGGTCAACATGTTAATGGTATGGAAAGTGACAGAGCAGATAGGCAGCTCGCTGCAGCAACGCCGACAGTGGTCAAGTGTGTTGAATTCTATCAGTCTCACAGTTAAAAATGATCACAATAAAAACACGGTCCCATCAGTGATCATCTTATAGCTTTGAGCAAATCAATCACTCTCTTCTGACTCTGCTCTCCCTCAGGTGAGCCACAGATCACTACTTCAGGTCAGTCACCTGCAAAACGCCTTCACAGACAAGAGTTTTAGAGTTATAGGACAGAACATCCTCTTCTTTCTATGTTTGTGTCTTAGACAGCTAGCCCGACAGCCTGTGGTGGTTTGATCTCAGAACGGCTCTTCCAGCGGCCCCCAGTTCACAGAGTTGTTCCCAGATTGGAAGCAGTTTCACCTAGTGTCCAAGCTGTGGGTGCTGGTTGTTAGCAGGGTGGTTGGGGGGCAGTGGCGGTCCATTTACCCCGGGGTGGTAGAAAGCACAGTTGCCCTCATACCTGCAGCTTCCCTTCATCATGAAGTGACGACACACAGGCCTCTTGGACATGTCTAACAGAAGAAGACAGCATTACAATCACACCACACCAAAATAAAACCACTTTTTAAAAAGACCCGTGTCACTAAATATCACCAGGTAGAAGTGACTATAGTCGATTTAGTGAAAATGAATAAATGCATCCATCAGTAGCTCTTGTTGAACCCCCCCCCAAAAAAACAAAAACCTCTTATTTCTTCATCTACCATTCATGTTGTTGTGTCCCCCTCTGGGCCCTCCTCGTCCTCGACCCCTGAAGCCCAGCTCTCCTCCTCCTCGGCCTCGGCCTCCTCGGTGGAAGTGACCTCCTCTGTGGGGCCCTCCTCTCGTGGATTCATCTCCCCAGTAACTGCCACCGTCTCCTCGACCCTGGCCCGGCGGCGGCCCCATCATGCGTGGGCCTCCACCAGCGTTAAAAGGTGGCCCGTGGTTATGAGGGGGCGGGGGGTGGCTGAAGCGGGGACCACCAGGCGGGTTGTTGGGTGGGTAGCTGCCGTTCATGGGCATTTGCATGTGCATGTTCATGTTGTTCATGCCCGGACCTTGGCCCAGTAAACCTTGGTTGACTAGGTTAATTGAAAAACATGTTAAAAACAATGAGGACAAGGACTAAAACACAGGTGGACATCATACTATGACAGCATGCTGTGGAATGAGGCTGAGTTTACCTGGTGGAGGTCCACCCTGGTTCTGGTTGTGGTTCTGTGTCTGTGTCTGCTGCAGGGAGCCCAGCAGCTGTTTAATCTTGTCAGAGAAGTCAGGCTGCTTGATCAAGTCTTCAGTAGACTGGTTACCAGAAGCACCCTGATGATAGACAGGTGTTACTAGTTACACACTATATCTAGAAATAGCAATTTTTTTTTAACCAACAACAGAGATATATTAAGCAGACAGTGAAATCTTATGAAAACTAGAAAAGTGCATTTTCTACAGAAAATGAATGCTGACTGCTGAGGGAACTGTCTTAGCAGTGCTGGAACGTGAAGCTGAAGCAGCTGAAGGCTGGGATGCAAAGCTGAATAATTATGGAAGATAAAAAGAAAAGCTGAAGTGCGGACTTAACTTCATTATCAGAAGAAGCTCAGAGTTTCGAAGCACCACTAAAACAGTGGAAGGTTTAGTACCAAAGCAGAAATAAAATCGCTTTAATTTGGATAAGGATAAAAATACTTATCAAATTAAAGTTTAACATGTATATTAAATCACTGTCCTGATTTCCATGGCATTTAACTGTGGCTTTCAATGTGAAAATCTGGCATGATACCAGGCATTATTTTGAGCTTAAGTTATAATCTTGGGCTTTTATTTTGAAAATCCCATGTATTTCAGAGATTCAGATCACTTCCTGAAACTAAGTGCAGGCTTTTATTTTGAAAAATAACCACTGCAGTGTCCGATAAGTTCATGCAACTAATAAGAGGCTTTAGATTTGAAAATCTGGCATGTTACAAGGCACTCATTTCAGATCATGTTATAATCTGGGGCTCTTATATTCATCCTTCAGAGCAACATTCCAACTTCCTGGCACCATGTCTGTGCAGATTCTCAGTCATCCACCAACTTTCCACCCTAAGCACATTTCGGTCTCTGCTGGTCTGACTGACGGTGCTGTTTGATGTGTACATACATACAGTGGGTACGGAAAGTATTCAGACCCCCTTAAATTTTTCACTCTTTGTTATATTGCAGCCATATGCTAAAATCATTTAAGTTCATTTTTTCCCTCATTAATGTACACACAGCACCCCATATTGACAGAAAAACACAGAATTTTTGACATTTTTGCATTTATTAAAAAAGAAAAACTGAAATATCACATGGTCATAAGTATTCAGACCCTTTGCTGTGACACTCATATATTTAACTTAGGTGCTGTCCATTTCTTCTGATCATCCCTGAGATGGTTCTACACCTTCATTTGAGTCCAGCTGTGTTTGATTATACTGACTGGACGTGATTAGGAAAGCCACACACCTGTCTATATAAGACCCTACAGCTCACAGTGCATGTCAGAGCAAATGAGAATCATGAGGTCAAAGAAATTGCCTGAAGAGCTCAGAGACTGAATTGTGGCAAGGCACAGATCTGGCCAAGGTTACAAAAAAAAATT